AAAAAATAATACTTGCAAATATTCTTTTTTTAATTTGACAGAATTTAGTTTTTAATTGTATTGTTTAGTATTGAATATTGGTATTAGAAATAAATCTCTGTTGCGATATATATATTGATATAAATTTTTATTCCTAATAAGATATGTCAAAATGGTGAAAAAAATGAGTTATATGTATTATCAATATAAATTAGAGGTTCAAAAATTTTTTGAAAATTTAGTATTGATTAATAAATTTGGAACAAATACTTGAATTTATGACTATTTTATAAATTCGTTGTGATGCTGTTAGGTGAAACTTATTAAATATAACATGTAAGTTATTATTTTAGTATTTGTTTAGTGGCACTATGATTAAGATAGTTCTGCAAAATAGGATAGCGAAGGTGGTAAAATCTCTAGAAAGAATAGCAAACAGTGCTTTTCAAATGGTTAATTATAACCAATATAAATAGAACAGTTATTATATATATAGTTTAAAGAGTGGAGGATTATATCTATAACATATATTATAAAAATTGAAAATATAAATAATTTCTATAATTAATTGATTACATTATGTGTGAGATTAGATGTATAATACATATGGACCAATTTTTGAAATTAGCAATAACTTTTAATCTATTAGTTAATTTTAAATAGATTTATTACCAAAATTATCTCTTTGATAAGAAATTCTAACAAGCCCAAAATTATCAAAATTCTATTACAGAATCTTAACTATAGATCAAATACACTATTGGTTAAATAATTAATTTCATTAGTTAAAATTTTATTTGATCTATAATGATTTTAAGATCCTGTAATTGGATTTTGATAATTTTGGGCTTGCTAGAATTACCTCATTGAGAAGATCATTTTGGTAATAAAACAATTTAAATTAGACCAATAGATTAAAGTTATTGCTAATTTCAAAATTTGATCCACTTGGTTAATATTACTATATATAGAAACACATCATCATTTTATAGTAAACTTGTATATATATAAAATAATAGAATTGAATAAAGAATAGCAATTAAGAAAAAGGGGAGAAAATAGTCGCATAGCTTCACTGTGGTATATACTGTAAACTAGTGTATTCAAATTATCATAGTTTGCTAAAAGTCATTCATGGCCCAAACAATTCGCAAACATCAAAATTGCTTTACTGAATATCATATTTTATTTATTTGTATATATAGAAATATAGATAATTTTATAAAATATATTATATATACTCTTCAATAAAATATATATATATAATTGCCAATTCTTGTATATATTAGAAAAAGAATAAAATAAAACTCGCTATATGATATTAGAATGACTGGTATTCTTAAACAATAAAATAATAATATTTTTTTTAATTGGTTAGCCCAAACAATTAGTTATCATCTTCTTGAGAAAGAAGCATGGTGTTTTGAGAAGTAGATAGGAATATGAATAGAGATTCTACTTCGATCAAATCTTCTTGAGATGATTGAGATAAAATTGTTGTTTCATTATCTGCGATTAATTCTGCCTATTCAAATGATGGACTCCCACTGTTGAAGTTATACTAAAAAAAAATAATGCTAAACATTATATTAAAAAATAATTTCTATATAATGTATACTTACAATATAGGTCTCTATGCAATGTTTCATTCTTATTCCATCATATACAACATCTTGCAAACAAAGATTTAAGATGATATCATAAACAGAAAAGACAAATACATAATGTATATTAGTAAGGGTAGAAACTATCATTTCGAAAAAGGCAGTTCTTGCTATTACGTTTGACCAGAAAACTCTGTTGCTATTTTTTTCAAAAAGTAATTTGTAGTAATTACTCACTTCTGAAAGACCTTTTCATTTCATTATTTCTAATGAAGAAGCATTTATTTTTAATAGAGACAATTGCTCAGACCCAAAGACTTTCCACATTGCCTGCTTAATATTGGACAACAAAGCATCATGATGATTTTTACTTTAACTGTGAGCTATTAAATAAAAAAAATTAAGTAACTAATTGCAACAGAGAACTAGGACCCAGGATTTTTAATATAAAAATTTCCAATTTTATGTAATCTGACCAATTTTAAACAAAAATTCTGATTTCTAATTGAATGTAAGATCATTCATGCATATTTCAAAATTTTAATTATTAATTCCTAGACCATACCAAATAATTTATTGGTTTGCATAACATTGAACTTTAAAACAAGCTTGGCAACCTGGCTTTTTTTTTTTTTTAACAAAAAAAAAAAAATATATATATATACATATATATAAGAAATAGGATTCTTATATAAAAATTTTTATCAAATAAAATATGATCAAGCTGAATTATAAAAACCAAAAAAATTAATACTTTACCAAACTTAAACTAAAATTAAAGTTTTGCAAGATCGATCTTACATCCTGCCAAATTCAAAATTTAGAATACTACTTGGCTTGCCCACTGGCTATAGTATAGATTTGTAACTGACCAATGTCGATACTTGATATGCATTCAGGAAATTTCTTATTAAGATAAGTCTTAAAAGTATCTTTTAATAACTTTTATGAAAAATATATATGTTTTGGAAACAAACACTTGATTATGTTAAAATAAATTTTCTATAAAGATTTAAAAATAGAATTTTT